CTCCCTATCGATTGATATAGATAAAACTACCATAGCTACAATACACGGTTCTAAGTTACTTGCATCATCTACTTCCTACATCTTTGGACCGGTCGTTGCTCTATATTATGTGGTAACGTCGTAACATAATCCAATAATTTTACACCATAATATCCTTATTCAAATGATACTTAACCTAATATCTATTTTGAAAATATCCTTTACCCTACCTTAGATCATTATCGTTCCGAGGGTGTCTTAAGAGGTGAAGAAACCAAGAGATGAGCAGCGTCTTTATTATAAAGTTAAAAGTTAAATTTACATCCACACACACAGGCACAGGCCTCCTCTAATTTCTGAGTGGGCTTTAAGGTAAGGAAATGTACGCCATGCTGCCCCAATTCGTGTTCGCGAACTTCACACGACCTCGAAATATTTTTTCTTTTAGTAAATCAGAACTTAAAATTGCAATAGTGTAGGGGTAGCGTTTTTTTTTAAAAGAAAATTAAGGAAAAAGAAAATTGCAATTAAAAATTTTTGTTGGTGCCAGCGGGGTTAGAACCGCAGTTGTCGTTATGTGATATAGCGAGCGCTTAGCAGCTGAGCTACCACGACTCTTATCTCTAATACAACTAAAAAATTAAAAAAAAAAACCAAGCGCAGCAAATAATATAATATAATATAATAATAACTATGAAGCAATATATGGCTTATGTTTTCAGCAGTGGATTTATTAGGCTGCAACGGTAATACTAAGGGTACCTTTAGGAGTACCTTCAGTAAGTGTAAGAGACGACTTGAAGAGCTCTAGTAATTTCTGAGCGTTTGGTAACAGAACAATGCATTCGAAACGTGATATAATAATTACAAATATCATCATCATTATCGCAAGTGAAACCTTCATATGTCCTCCGTCTGCAATGCCGTATTAGATTGTCAAGTCCTGTTGTAGGGAGATACTCTATACGAAAAAGTATGCTTACTTGAATATTGAAAATAAAAATAAAAACTTTCCAGTGAACAAAAATTAAATAACAATGCACACTATTGACTCATCACACGTTAACGCATAAATGGAATTTGATAAATTATGCAGATAAACCGTGTTCTCGATTATCACGTGAATTTTTTACCACGCGAAATTAAAAGTTATCGGAAAAAAGATGGTGAAGTGAGGATACTTATTTTTTTCAGGAGGGTGTAGTCGCGATGAGATGATGCTGATATGAGAAGTTATTTAAAAATACGCAAAACTTAAAATACCTTGCGTATTGTTGCAGTAATGGGGAGTAGCAGGCATGGACATTTGTTTTCCAATCTTGGATGCTGGATTAGTGAAGTTTCTCCAGACCCAGTGAATTTTTTTAGATTGATGAAGTCAATGATACTACGCTAATTGTCATAAGACCTATTTGTATAATCTCTGTTTTTGATAATTTTTTTTAACAGACCTATTATAAACAATTTAAAATGCTCACAATGTACACGTGGTATATAAGTAATTCTGTATAAAAAAAGAAAGTTGCCGTCATTGAAATGGGATTAAATATTAAAGATAATTAGCTAACAGTTATGGTCGTAAGCGCGATATCTGTTTGTTGATTTTTTTTGTTCAATAAAACTAAAATGATTAACGAACTTATAGTCCACCTGATGACAGTGGCTTCTGCAATCCATGGACACCAGCAGCCATCTTGAAACAAAGAAAGCTACAGATTCGTCGTTACTTCTGAAGACTAGAATGGAATGTCCCCCAGGCCTGTATACTGGTTCTCTACACCTGTCATCTATCTATATCTATATGTATCTTCATCGGACCGTAGAAATGCAAACACTGATATTTGAAAGTAGAAATAAGAGAGGAGTAGGTAAGAGTTTGGTACCTGTCCAGACGGACTACTAGGCAAAAAAGGAGCCTTCGACCACATTTGTATTTTGTTTATAGAATAAGGGTGACAAACGAGCACACAATCCACCTGATGGTAAGTGGATGCTGTGGCTCATAGACATCTACATTTATACTCGATTAAGAATCAAAACGCAGATGCGTTGACACCCCTGAGGACTAAGATGGAATGCCTCGTTTGCAGTAAAAAAGGGTCTCCGGATCTCTGCACTCACCATACGAAGCACAGCAGTATTAAGCTGCTATTTTACGCTGGTATTCTATGAGAGCGTGGTTCTTCCCCGGTTGAGCTGCCGATTCATGCTATAACCATAATATAGCTGCAACGTGGCTCTACCATGTATGTATAAATAAATTTCTAAAGTATAGAAGTTAGGTTCGTTTTTAGCTTAATCCGGTATTGATTCTAATTACATAAGCTCATAGTTTCTAAATGTTCATAAAGGTAAAGCAAGAACCTATGTTTATAACGCTCCACTTGACGTGACCACCCCTGGGCACGAGCCTCCCCTGGTTTCTCGGTTTTAGGGCATACAAGTGTCCATTGCGCTGCCCCAATGCGAGTTATTGGACTCCATATGTCTTCGAAAAAACTTTTTTGTTTCTCAGGCATGTAGATTTCCATACAATTTTTATCCATCTCTGAGCACTTGGTAAATCAGCACTTAAAATTGTAATTAACAGTTTAATTGGTTCCGGAAAGAAACGAACCGGGGTTGTTCGGGTAAAGTGAAATTAACAGTGTGCGCTTACCCCCTGAACCACGACGGCTATCATAAATGTTCCTATAATGCTATGCTTTCCTTAGTATTTGTCTGTAATAATTTTTCAATAATTGTCTGCTTATAATAATTATAAGTATAAAACGTTACCTTTTTACGTTTAATTATTTACCGGAAACAACAATTTCCCTGTGTTGTTCATGGGCGCCGGTAGTCACTTAGCACCAGGTGAACCGCATGCTTGTTTGCCCCCTCTTCTATAAAAAAAAACATTAATATTGAACTAATAGAAGGTCATAATATATCAGCTGTGGATTTTCTTGAAAAAAAATGTCATATATACAATAAACAAAACAAAAACAAAACTACGAGTACAAGACGGAAAATAATTGTTTATTAAATTTTCTTTTTATTTTTTGAAATAACGTTACCCCTACACTAAGATTTTCTCTTGTATCGTGGGGGCAGTTTACAAACATAAATTGCACAGGGACAAACATCCAGACCCGGAACAACTATTTGTAGGCCATACAAATACTTGTTCCGTGCGGGATTCGAACCCGCGATCTCTAGCGCAGCCACTCATTGCTAAGCCACTGCGCCACGGAGTCGTCGGCCAAATGTCAGAAGTTTTTTCTTTCCGGCCCATAAATAATCCTACCATAGTGTGTCACGCATTTAACTCTTCGTCGTTTCTGATCTGGGTATTTATGTAATACACAAATACACATAGATTTAGTATAAACTGACGCCAGAATATATCTATGGAATTACAAATACGAGAATAGACTAATTTTCGAGGAGCTACTAAACTACATGCATTTTTTTTGTTCAATAAACGTTACTAATAACAGTTTTTCCTATATAATTGAAGCATTTTAAATAAATTAATTGCACATGGACAAACATCATGACCTAGTGTCGTAACTAGGGGCTGACCTGGCAGGTGTCTACCTGGGACGCTACCCTCAGGGTGGTGCACTTTGCAGACCCACAGCCGTGCTGAGAAATGATAGATATGATAGGCGCAAAAATTTTATTCTTAAATGTAAACATAATTAAGTTTACACTTTCAAAGTTATTGTGTTCCCTATCTTCCCAGGAAATAAGTCTTGGTCGGTGGGATTACAAAATTTAAATTTTGGCATAGGCACTTATGACCCTAGCAATGACGCTGTTCAGACCCGAAGCAATTGTTTGTAGGCCATACAAATAACTACCCGGGATTCATATCTGCAACCCAGCCAAACATAAGCACTACGTTACCGAGCTATTATATATAGTATATCGTATACACTCACCAGACGAAAATGGTAGAGGACTATATGTGTATATATAGGACTCTCTTACGTCTAGACGACCAAGGTTGAATATCAGTGGTGTTTGTATTTTAATCAAGTTTAAGTATTTTTTAATACTTAATTCGTTCCTTTGATCATTCGTTCTTTCATGTAACCTTAACGTATTTATAAAAAGAGGAATTAATCCTCTTTTTTATAAATACGTTAAGGTTACATGAAAGATTAAAGTAAAAACAATAGAATGCGTAATGATGTTGGCACACTAATGGAAATCAATGTACTGGTTACCGAACTATTACAACTGTCACCATTTGAAAGGTTACATGATAATGAGAGCAAAATTCACTTATGTCGTCGATCGAGCTCTTTTTCCATATGGGTACATATCTCTCGACGAATTTCTATCTATTGTTCTAAGCAGGACGCGAATGAACTGCCAATGTAGCAACTGGTGTCTATAGACGTAATTCGTAAGCAGAGCACTCACACACGCCCGACTGTTGAGTGAAAACGAGTATAAAAGCAATGCAAATTGCAATTGCTGGCATTACCCACTACCCTCTCCTGGAGTAAGGAAACCAAGAGTATTGAATATTCCACAATGAAATATCACGTGCGTAACTTATGTTTGTAATTGTGATTTTGAATTCAATTTAAAGTGTGTTCACAATACAAGATATATTTTTATTTCGTTTAATTTGGCAATAATTTGGTTTAGATTTAAAACGTATTTTTTTTAAATTGTCCCTTTTTTAGTTTTAATAATTATTTTGAAGTTATTAAGGTGTCGTTAATATTGAATGCATTATGTACGAATGCATCCAAGCGACACTTGAGTGTAATTATTCCTCATCTATCACTACTCGACTCGTTACAGGAAGTATCTCTCTTTGCATAACCGTTTGATGGAGGTTCCTCACGCAATTGCCTTATGAAACTGGTTTTAGTCTTTTTTACATTATATACTGCAAACATTTAGTTTTGCGGACTGTTAAATTATTTGACAGGCCTAATTTTAACTCTAAAATAACGTAGCATAAATAAAATTTAATATTTTATCTAGCTCTTAATATTTTGAAATTTCTTTCACAGATTATCTTGGGATTGTTTGCTGTGGCGGCCGCCTACCCTGGCATCATTCACGATGAGATACCACAAGTTGAGGAGAATTATGAGCAACAAGGTCTGATTGGAGAATCGGGTCATCACCATCAGATACAACATGAGCATGCTAAGTCTCATCAGTCCATTAAAATTGAACATTTCCACCCGGTGCCAGTTTATATTAAAAAGGAGCATAGTCATCTTCTTAAACATCCTCTTGAGAAGGGAAAGACTGAGCAGAATTTAAAACAAATTCACCCTGAAACCGAGCACAGCCACGGTGGTGGTCTTGTCCTTGAAGACCACAGACAGAATACTGACCACTATGGTGCTAGTTTTGGGCACGGAGGTTTTGAACAAAGCGCGGAACAAGGAGGATACGAGCATTTCGGTGGATACGAAGGTTCTGAAGGTTTAAAGGCATATGCCGAACTACAACAGCCTGAATCTGAGGGTCAATACTATGCTCAACATGGACAGAGTTTGTCAGGGGAAAGTTCAGAAGGTTACCATCACGAAGGCTATAATTAATTACATTAAACTTAAATCGCAGGCTTAATCGTGGAGTGTTTGTTCGTCCACTATCTAAAACTATTTTAGGTGTACTTTTAGCCTGTTCCTATACCCATTACGAAAATGTGAGATCATTTCACGAAAACGATCTTACAATTGATATAAGGCTTTTGTGGTTGTTGAGGCTTCGTATTTTTAACGCAACGTACCTGACATACGTAGATGTAAAACTTGGAATTGGTTAGAAAATTTATTGAATTTCGAAAGTGATTAAAGTAATCCACATAGTTTTAATTAAAAGTGTTATTTGCCTATTGGTAGGTGGAAATTAAATTATAAACTATGCGTAAAGGTGCATTATTGAGAAACTGACGTGTGAATGTCTGCAATTTCATGAATGTTCTACTTTCTAAGATAAACGCTACGCTTGTGATTGTGTTTTCGCGACTTAAGATGTTTTGCTGAGTCCCAGTGTAATTGTGATATTATTAAATTGTTGTATAAAAAATAAAGATATTTTTATTTCTAACTTTACTGACCAAATGACTAATCTTGTAATTTTTATGTGTTTATCAGCCTTAAAAAATGTTCCTATGCTGAACCAGAGAATTTCAGCAATTTGTGAAATGTTTTTTGTGTTCACCATTAGAAGGCATGGTGAAAGAGAGATTATTTGAGACACTATTTTAAAGACTGAACATTACATATTTGTGTGCAGTTAAAAAGTCTAATTCAGTAGTAAATATGTATACATAAATAGCTTCTTTAATATTTTAGACCGTATCTAAAAACTGTAAGGTATCAATATACTCGTATATATGAATCTTTTTGGCGTGTTTTGTATGCGGAACTTATCAACTGCATACATGCACAGAATAATTGTGCAGAAATTGTTTATTACTTTTAAATTATTCTGTACTGACGTCGTAACGCTTATTCATTCATATTGTTATATAGAAACAACATAGAAACTAAAATTAGAAAGAAAAGGTTTCCATGTACACTAAACACAAAAATACACGTAACACCTAAAGCAAACAAACCGTGTTATGCACAATTTTAAATCTTCCTTAGTAATCAGAACTAAATAAAAAAAAAAACGTTAATTGCATAACGTAGGATAATACAATTCAAGTAATCAAGCAATTTGCACGATGATAAAGGTCTAGGGATCACAATTTGGTCATTTCTCTTTTAGTCGGTTAGGCAGTAAAACAACGTAGGTAATTTAAACACAGAGAGGCGATGTTGAAAGCTTAGAGAAGAAAAACAATAGTAACTTTATAGAATACTATAATACGTACATAATACATACATTGTGTATAATGGTGTTCTATGAGTAACTTCATTATTTGACACGACGCCATAACGATACGAAATGTCCCCGATATATAATTTCACATTGTCTTATACCGTCGGTAAAAATATTTTCTTTCAGGAATAAACAGTTCATACTAACAGAGAGTTGTCTACAAATCTCCTTTTCTACAGTAAGTAAAAATAAAATCCGCGCGTCGATATTGCTACTAAGCTTAGAGGTTTAAACGTTTAACTGTTGTCGTTTTACGCCACGTCGAATCCTATCGACAAATTAAGAGATGTTACACAGTGTCGATATCGATAAGACGTCAATAAAGCTGACGTTATATTATTGTCAAACCAACTAATGAAAAAGGGCCTAATTCAAATTGAGATATAATTCAAAAATGAGACAGCGTGCACTTATCGTATAGCAGCGGTGTAAGAATACCTATCTACTACCCCATATCATCCTGTAGGTGTCGCAAGAGCCGACAGAGGAACATTGAAATAGGTAACGGGCAGCAGCAACTTCCTGATAACAACTCAAAGTAATAAAAGTCTGAAGTTGCCAACCCGTCTTCCAAGCGTGGCAAATATGGCAAGATAAAATGAGAGAAACTATGGGGGATACTTCTGCAGTGAACTTTTATAGGCTATTTTTGATTTTTTGATTGATTTTGATTTTGATTGATTTTATACATCGAATGGTGCACTTAAACGAGAAACTTACGAAGAGTAAGAATATCCAATACCCCAAATCGTCCTGTGGGACTCGCAAGGGGCTACAGTGGGAAACAAACTGGGAGACCGGCAGTAGTGTCTTTCTAATAAAAACTACAAAATAAAAAATTGTGGATGCCGACCTACTTTGCTAAATGTGGCAACTCCTTCAGATATCTCTCTTATGTGGCAACAATGGGGAGTTCTATGTTCAGCAGTGGACTTTGATGGCTTATTATTTATAACGAATGGATTGCAATAAACATACTTATATAATAAATATTACGCTAATTTTACGACTTCCATGCAGCTTGTTAAGCATGGCCAGGTAGGACAATATAATGCTTATATAATGCAAGAATTCGATCGCATAATTGCTATGTTGCGTACCTAACAATTATTAATTGCGGGCTGTCGGTCTTCAAATTATTTACCAATGCAAAAGTTGTCGAACTTACTGACTGAAACAAATTAATTGTGCAGTAGTAATCATAGAAGGTAATAAGTTGATAATAGATTGAGTTGCTTCTTATAACAAACTCGGAATACTGTTTTCTACAAAGTAAAAGTAAAGTAAAGTTTCGTTACTCTTAAAAGCATAAATTATATAAAATTTTTATTAAATTCTTCTTTTTGTTTACTGCCTTGTAACAATCCGCTGCAGAACATGGACGTCTCGTATAATAGGGAAGATTAAGGTTGACGTCGCCAGTGACATAACAAGGGAAGCCCCAAAGGGGCCTAGACCCCAGCTGGCATTTTGGAAAATTAAAACCAGCTCCCGACTTAACTTTATAAGTGATGCCAGTAAGAATGACAAAGAATCTCAAAAGAATACTATACCAATAGCATAAGAAGTTCTAAAATAATCTGTCAAGGGGTATAAAAATTTTATTTCATTCTCTTTAAAAAAGTTATATAAAAACATAAGACTTTTACTGATTTCAGATTTTTTAAAACACGAAAATGTATACGAATATATACATAATAATGGTCGACCGGTATTTTGAGCTACCACTTCCTTCTTAAGTTCGCTGTAAACCTCTTTTAATATTATAATTACATTCCTAGGGAAGACATTCGCCATCGTTGCCACGCATGGCAAGTGGGTTGGCTATCGCAGTTTTTTAATTCAGCTGTTGTCAGGAAGATGCTGCTACCCATGTCCTGGCACTGTTCGGCTCTGTCGCCTCATACGACACCCACGGAATGATATGTGACAGTTGATATTCTCAAACAGCCGCTACACGGTAAAATCTCTTTTGAGGGTGTCTTAATATCCGGTAGGCCATAAAAATTGCGGCAGTAGTGCCAGTTCTTTCATATTATGCAAAAATACCACTAGTTGTTTACGTCTCAAAAATATTTTTAACAAATCGTATTAATCTTGAATTCTTTCTTTGACAATTCATCTTACTTTTCCGGTGATTTCAAATAAAGACTAGCTCAATTTATAAGAAGTTTCTAAAGTTTATTCACAAGTTAAGTAAACAAATAAGGGTTTCAATTTACGAGAAATATTAATACTCAAAATAACCTACTATATATATATATATATATATATATATATATATATAATAAATCTACTAGAACACTTTGTAATAAGAACAATGTGTAATGGTTGTGTATTTATGGGGATTTCGCCACTAAAACACAAATTGAATTCGTACCTTTAAAATGCTAGTTTTTTCATAAGCCCACAAATATGGCTTTCATACTCTACAAATGGTTTTGGCTTACTTTGATAGGCTTCAAGTAAACAAAACTTGCACAAATTTGTAGCTACAGCACTGTCATTTCACCATTGGCAAACGCTGACATAATTATCTATAATTGTTTTGCAATTGGATTTAGTCACGAGAAATATTTTTACTGCTAGTACACAAGTTTATGAGTACAGTCTCAAATTAAGTTCGCATTTGCTTTTATGAATTTAGCATCTGAAAGTTGAAATGGCATTGTTGTCGTCTGACAGCTAATAACAGCTAGCGCAATATTAGATGGAATAGGAACCTAACAAGGTATGCGCAGTATTGATAGATACACTACAATATTGGTTCTATCAACTCGATATCATGCTTATTATCAAGAATACTTTTGTTCGTCATGGGAGACAAGACAGTCGAGTACTGTGGAGAACAGGAAAGAAATTGGCGGACTTTCGGGGTGATGACACAGAGAATCTTCTGTATTTGAGCCCGTAGCGACCAATTTTCCCTTTGGTTCTCAGTCGACTGAGATGACAGTAAAGATTGAGCATGGTTAATGCGCTGCAAAATCAACTACTGAAATAATCTCAGGCCGCAAACGTGCCCGAAATGTGGGGTTTTCAAACTCCTTGTGACGTGTGACAACACGTGATGTACTTTGCCGACCTGGTGTGTGTTATAATTTAGAGATAATATCATAGAGTACTATTGGATAATATACTCATAGACAAATTTAGAGGAACACAAAAAAAATAATTTCTCCTCTTGTAATTATCGTGCGTACGGCCAGTGAATCCTATAAACTAAGAAAGTTTGGAGTGATGTTTTTTAAAATTTCAGTTTTTTAATGTTATTGTGTGATATTGCGTTCTTTTATAGGTACTGCAAAGAAATTATATATATATATATATATATATATATATATATATATATATATATATATATATATAGGGGAGTTTGTAATGTAAGTAGACCATTACAGCAAATCATGTTTTTATTATTTTGGCTACAATATACTAACAGGCGTTTTACTCATGTTATTATCATAACAACACAGTTTTTGTGCTTACTGGAAAATATTGTGCCAGCCGGACTAAATTCACACTTGCCTGTCGGAGGCCGCTATTCCTGCCACATGCCATCAGTTAATTTTCCTCGCCATGATGAAGATTGGAGTCAAGTTTTATTCGCAGATGAATCCAGATTTTGTCTGGAGCCAGATGATCGAAGGAATAAATCGTGCAGACGCCCAGGAGAGAGGCCCGGTCAGTATGTTACACATTAGAA